GTATATAATATATATATATATATATATATATATATATATATATATATATATTAAAATAGTTATATTCAATGAGAGATTTTAAGAGTTATTTTTTAAACATTTTTAGAAACAAATTAGCGAGATATTTATTAACTTTCTATTTATATCATTTTACTCTTTTTTGTATTATTTTAATTAGAATTTTAATATTTTTTAAAACAGTTATCATTAATGGTTAAAAATAATTTTATATGACAATATAAATTGTATACATCTAAAATAAAATTTATAAATTCAAAAATTGTTTATTTTTATGAATTTTAATTATAAATTATTTATGTATTTGAAAACATTAATTTAATACAATTTTTTGTTATATGAAATAAATATTTATTATGTGTATTACACTAGTTAAAATATTAATTTTAATACATTTTAATCAATAATAATGTAGGCATTAAAAATAATGTATTCCTAGCTTTTTGCTATGATTAAAAACAATGATAAGTTAGCATATACTTTTTGTAAGTCTCTGGGAAAAAAAGTTATTAGACTATTTTAAATCGGGATTTAAAAAAATAATAATAACAAACTGAGTCTCGAGCTTAGTTTGGATAAGGAGTAAAATAAAGAGAAAATAAATAAGAATCATAGAAATGAAAGAGAAATAGATCAATAAAAAAATATATATTGTTTTGATGGATATAAATAAAAAAGCAAGAAGTGAGACAATTTCTCTCTAATTGTTTGAATGAGAAAAAAAGAGTGAAATAAATTATGTAAAAATATATTCTTACTATAATTAAAATATATAATTTTAGTATTTTAATTTTCTTAATATAAAATTATTTATTATTTTTCAAAATAATATTATAATTCTAAAAAAGAAGCAAAAAGTTTGAAAGAAAAAAAAGGTTAATATTGTTTTATTTCATTCCATTTTTAACTATCATTGGTATGCTTCATACAATAAATATTGGAAAATATATAGAGTTTTATCTTTTTATTAAGTATGTGAAAGAAAAAAAATTTCTATATTTTGTACCATGTTAATAGTATTAAGGTGAAAACATAAGTTATGTTTTTTCCTTTTGTATACCATGCAAAAATTTTGGATTTCTAGATGATCTTATATATGATGCGATAGATTCTTCAGTCAAACATTTTATATAGGGGACTAATGCTACTCATTGAATTAATTAGAACACCTTAATTATTCTCAAGAATAAAGGAGATCTAGACAGTTGCATGAGTCGAAAAACAAATATAACTTTACTTAGGAAGCACATTTGGAATCTTAGCATGACTATGATAAACTATAAAGGAAAATTCATGCTTATAAAATACATTTTTTCTCATGGTATCCTTCAAGCAAATACTTAACAAGGGTAATCTTATATTTGGCTATCTCTTGTAAAGGCAACTAATATCATTACACCTGGCTTTTGTATTAGGATTGGAAAAGGAAATATTTCTTTGTGATTTCATAAACGACTTTCAGATGACCCTATTCTCAACATGTAAATTGTGTCCTCCTGCATGGTGTTCACATGCGAGTTCAAGATATTTGGAGGAATGATACTTGGGAATGGTTAGGTGTTTACACAAATGTCCCACTTGCCATAAAACAAAAAATAAGCAATTTTTTTTTTGTTGAATCTATCTTGTGATGATGTAATCACTTGAGAACCCTCGACTTCAAGTTGTTATTCATCAAAAATTGCTTACCATTGGTGGTCTAGAGGGTGTGTCATTCAAGGTCAAGCATTTGAAAATGTCTCTTGGATTTGGACTTTAAAATTTCCTAAAATATTAGACACTTTCTTTGGTTGTGTTACACACAATCCCTTCATACTAACCTGTGTTGATTTAAACGGCATATTTCTGTAAATACCCTTCGTTATAGATGCGACCATTTGAAGGAGTCTATCTATTATGTGCTTCGTGACTGTCACAAGTATGTACATATTTGGTTTAAGCTAAGACCTCACTTGAATATTATATATATATATATATATATATATATAATAATAATAATAATAATAATAACAACAACAATAACAATAATAATAATAATAATAATAATAATAATAATAATAATAATAATAATAATCTTAATGTGACTTCATGGCTTAGAACTCATGCTGGAAGGAAGGATGAAAT